AAAGGATATTACCTTGGAACCCGTAAACTCTGCCTCGACTGCTAGTTTCGTTCAACGACCGGAAGAATCCATTTCTTCCTTCGGGACGTTTATTTACCGCGTGAGCCTCATCGTCAAAGAGAGAATTTCTCAGCAAATTTTTTTTTCTTTCTTTCTTTCTCTCTTTCATTTGTATTCCACACATGCAGTAACATCGCATTAATGGATATTGCGTCTTTTATATAGAAACACTAAATTGCTTCTCTCAAACGATTATTGTTTCGTCAGGATAAAAATAACTTTCCCCTCCTCGTTCTCAGTCGAGGAAAAAAATAATAAAAAAAAACTGCGTGATTGACTAAAACTACCGTCTCACAGTTTAAGGATATCAAATTGAGACAAAAAGATATCAAAAGTAGCAACACTTTTGATACGTTTTTTGTATCAATTTGATATCCTTAGAAAAACTGTGCTATTGACGGTATAGTTTAATTGCAAAAACACATTCAAAGTAAACTAACAAAATGTTATCGAATCAAAAGATCTCTATTAGTCATAAATATTTTTTTATAGCTCCTCGCAGATTTAAGAGTCGAAAATTTCTCGAATTAAGAAAACTTTATTTGTTCCATGAGGGAATTTATACAGCAGTCAGTGAATGAGAATTGGAAAGAGGGTTGGCAAACCCTCAAAACTTAAGAGTTGATTGGCCAAGGTATATGTTAAGCTAATATCGTAGACTTTTCACAGTCCCTGTGATACAATTCCACGCCCTAGGCACGCGCAGCTGCAAAATGTCGGGAGTTAGCCAAACCTCTAAGGTTATCAATATAGGCAATCGCAAAATATCACCCCCGGGGGCCAAGAAACGCACATAGGGTTGGCAATAATGTTTTCAGGGTTGGTTCCTGAAATATTGTCCTGAAACTTGGTGAAAATTCAAATCCGTATATATAACAGAACGAAATGAACATTTCTCCTGGTAATCAAAGTTAAACATCACGTTTAATTTATCTCTCATTGTTCGCAATAAATTCAAACTGCTAACAATTATTATTTTTTACGATAATTTATTATTATTACTTCAACATTTATTTTATGTTGAAATGACCCCGTAAAGAGCATCTGAGTTTTCGCAATGAAATCTGAATTAGAATGTCACATTATGCATAAGGTCTTAAATTTTCCATGACACTTAACCCAACCAAGGAATAGAGAGAGAGAGAGACAGTTCAACGATAGCTTGAAGATTGTGCTGAACACATAATTTATCAAAATGCTAGAGGTCGTCTCGCGAGGATGTCGTGCTAGTTCGCAAAATGCGTGCAATAAATCTTAAGTAACGCCACCCCGGGGAACGATAAGGAAAATAGAAGCTCTCCCAAATATTTCAAGTCATCATCACACTCAATGTGTTGTTACGCATAGCAATAATTACAAAATAAATCACACCAGGGCTCGAACCAGTCAAAGTATTTAATAATACGGACTTTACGGACCCAAAAATTAAAAATTACAGACCACTTACTAACAAAAATATATCAAGTCCAAGTCAAATAAGAGAACATTTTACTTAAAACTACAAATTATATTTTTTATACTCAGACTAAACGTTTAATACTTGACAAACTTTAGAAATGGAAAAAGTAAAATAAGGTAACAAATAAGCATTACAAAATGAAGTTGCCAAGAAATTACATAAAATTACCTCTGAAATTGAAAAATAAAATCAGTTCTGATTGGAAGAAAGGGGTTAAATTGACCAAATTGGAGTACCTATCTACGAAAAGTAATTAATGTAATCTCATTTAAGAGATTGAAATAAACCTTCTCTAAAGGCTAATAGAGATGGTGAAGGTATTCCTGAAAGAAGCTTATACACTGCAGCAAATTGCTACTCACAGAGCATTTCTCGTGCGCGCCTCATTTGTCAAGAAAATTCCTAAGCACGTCCGCATTGGGAATTAAAGTTATTTTCAGACTCTGTCTCTTTAGGCAAATATACTGTTAATAACCAACCTAATCTCACCATTAAAACTGTCTAAGTAACTACCGTCAATAAAGTTCCCCAAAAAGCTTTCAACTACAATTTCGACAGTATCTAGAAATATAAAACCAAAAAGTCAATAGAAATAATATTGTTGTTCAGTTGTAAATTGTAATACATTGGAACTACCGTCAATTTAAAGTACCATTAAATGATAACTACCGTCACTGAAAAGTACCGTTCTCTAATCATCATAGTGAGGCACATCGTACGATATTGATGAGAGTACTTTGAGCGGAATAATCCCGATCACGCGACACTGCCCACTGGTATTTGATACCAATAAATCGCTATTAGCAGATTTCTAGTGGAAAATTTTATGCTGAGCTATTCAATGCACACTTTAACATAAATAATACATTTCGTGATAATCCCACCATGCATAGATAATCACATATTCCTCCCCTCTAAATTTAATTTCAAAAAAAGAGAGATAGAAATCACTATCTTTTGATAGAAATTATTTTTAAAAAGTCAATAAAATATAAATAATTCACTAAAATACCAATTTTATAAATTTTTCAAATTTTTCAAAAAAACATTAGACGATGAATATATAAACAGAAACTTTACGAAGGTCACAACAGCATTCTCGGTAATAAACTTTAGAAAAATAACTTAGCTAAGAAGTTTCTCTGCAATTTCACTGCAAAGAACAGAAAGTGAAACTGTGTTGATGACAAAACTTTATTTTAAAGTTTTTTGAGTGAAATTATTAGATTAAACTTTTCTATTATTATATAACAAATGGAAACTTTTCACAAGTTTTCACTTGATTTGAGTATATATGCTGGTGTATAAAGATAGATTGCTCTATGCATTAAATAAAAGTTTATTTAAAAAAAACAGAAATAGGGAAAAATAATACGTTTGGAAATAAAATACCTCCGTCTGTTTCTCAATAAATAAAAAAGAAAGATTTCAAATGAAAGAAAAATATAAAACACATTTTTTCAAATGAAATATTAAACCAGAAGGTGAACATAAATTTTTCCTATATATTATTTCTATAATGATATCGTTTCTGATCATGAAGATGAAAAGACTATACGCCGTTTCAAGAAGCCATTCACCTACATTCTTTCCTTGAATCATGTAATGCATATAGAATACAAAATATACATATAGTACTATAATGCAGTTTTGTGGTATCATCTATTGATAGAAGAATCGGAATTTTTTTTTCTACGGCTTCTGTTTATGTATTATAAAAGTTATAGCATTTTTTCAAAAAAAGGAAGTAAACAAACTTGAGAATTTTTCATGAATTCGAAATTTCTTCCACAGGAATATATTTCAAATATTTAATCATTATTATTTTACCATCGGAACTAGAATTTTCCAAATTTCTAATTCAAACCTTTTCAAAAATTGAATAACTTATAAGAATATTATTATAAAACAAGAAGATGTCGATAACTCCGAGTCCTCGTCTCTTAATGTTTTATAATAATTAAAGATGTCCCAGTGATAAAATCATTTATTGAAAATGCCTAGAAAATAATTGTATTTGTGGCAAAGAATTTTATGAAAATTAAAAAAAAATAATTTTACTATTCATTTACAAAGATAATTAAAATTTTTCAAAAAAATACTTCATTAAATGATTTATAAGTATTAACTTTATGGCAGTTCTTCAATAGAATTAAGTTATTTAAAATAAATTATTGTCAGAAATAGAATAAATTTAAGGATTTTTTAGAATTCGTGGTAATTTTATAGTTTATGACACAAAAATTCAGAATTTTCTAATAAATTCTAAACATTTAATTTTTTTCAGTACTTTTAATAAAAATCGCTGACTTTTCCCTGATTTCCCTGACGAATCAAACCCCGTACCTACATTTTCATCAGAAAAAATAAGTTTTCTAATATGCTTTATCAATTCATGACACTTCGAAATAAATGTCAGTTTTTACTTTTCTTTAAAAGGACTTAAAAGAGTGGAGGACATAAAAGAGTATCAAACGTTGAAAATCAAAGAAATACGTAGAGTTAGATGTGTCCGAGACTGGACCAACCAATGAACCGTTCACAAAACGTGTTCAGAGTATCAATGCGGTTAGTGACCATCAAAACAAGACTGATTTCAGGGTTGAAGGACTATATAGTATATATACATTATATCTGAAAACGGAATTACAGAGAGAGGACGAGAAGCTAGTCAAAGTTTATCAACTAAGAACAGGAATAAGTCCTTGGAAACTAAATGTATCTTCATTGGCATTGTTCATCGTCGAATACCAAAATTAAGTTCGAGTTGTATATTACGTTATAGAGTTTCTATATGGTAAAGTTTCCCCTACTCTACACTGGCCAATATTGCCACATAGTCACTCTATGTGCGCGATATTGTCAAGTGGAACCGCAAGCAATCAAAGACTATAAAAAGAAAAACTATTCTTTCAAATATTTTTAACTAAACTGTTCTTTAATAAAACGTATTTTTAATTTCACTGCGTTAGTTAAAGTTTTATAAACTTTTTTAAGCTTTTCTAAGCTTTTTAAGCTTTTTTTTAAGCTTTTTAAAGCTAGCTTTAAGTTAAGCTAGTTTTTAATGAAGCTACTATTTAATAAAAATTTTAATGAAACCATTATTTAATTAATTATTATTTTATTTTCTATTTTTATTCGAAAAAAGTTAATCGAGTAATAAAAATTTAACCATGTGTGCTAATAAAATAAAGGAAGAATTTACATACTAAAATGGCTAAAGTGTTGGGATTTTTTTTTAATAAAGATAACCCATTACGGGTTGTCAAAATACGCAGTTACCACACAATAATCGATTAGGTCTCTGTAGGGGAACAATACACGCCCTTGTTTGTCCTGTTAGTGAGCCTAAGGTCTGCTATCTGTTTCTCGTATATGTAGTCAGTCATTATCTCCAGTCTAATATCCCTTTACGAATCCCGCAATAAACCCTTCAATTCACGCAAGAATGCTAATAATAAAAAAAAATTTAATAACTCACCAGCGTGTCCCACAGGGCATAGAATATCTGAAACATAAAAAAAGTAAATTAGAAAATTATACCTTTATTTGAAAAAAAGTTTTTAAATGCAAAAAGTATGGAAACAAAAAAGCAGTATAGAAACAAATACAAGAAAAAAAGACAATATCGAGGACAATATAAAAACAATTTTGAAAAAATAGGAAAAAAACAATACGAAACGTAGGTAAGATGGAAAAATTAATTAAGAAACAATTCGAAATGAGAGAATGGTTCTAAAAACGGAGTCCAAGTGTAAAATGTGAACCATTCTGAGGCGTAATAGTGACAAAAGAATGAGAACTAACACTCCCCTTCTCATCTTATGGGCGTTGCAAGTTCCACTAAACGTGTAATGGCATTTGCAATAAAGGAAAGCACTTTGGTTCTACGCTACGGAAATGCTGTATCACAGAATCGTAACGAGAGGGCCAAAATATCGACTTTTTACGATCGCCTCCAAAGACGTTTATTATGAACACGGATATTTTCGGCACTTGGGAACTTAACGCACCAATTATCGCACAAACTCTCAAGAGCCTTGTTATCGCTCGAATAAGTCCAAACAACACCTTCCACACTCATTGTAAAACACTTCTTTTTCCTCTACTCTACTATCAAAAATAATCGCCGATTGCAAAAATAAAATGCAATTTTTTACAAGTTTAAAACTTTTATTTTACCTATTTATATTTTTACAATACCCCTCTTTATATGAACACATTCATCGGACAAATTATGGTCCTATGGCTTTTTTGACTGTTAATTTCTAAATAAATAAATAAAAATAAATTTTAACTTACCGATGAGGGAAAATTTCACAGATTAAAAATATTACTACTTAAGAAATATTCTTTAAATCAAGTAACGATTTAGTAAAAATGATTTTTTCGGTTTTCGGAAGACTTAAAAAAAATATCGTCACTTGTAACAAAAATTAAGTATAAAATTCCCCATTATTTAAAGTGGAAAGTACCGGCGTCCAAAAGCTCCATTATTATTTTTTCTTTTTTTGACCTAAATACATTCGAATCGGGGCGCAAAAAGAAAGTTTAAAACAGCGTATACCTTTTGTGTAAATTTCTAGAGCCTTTAAACTTGGAGATTTATGAACTTTTTTAGCGTGTACGTATTAATAAAAAAAATAAAAAGTTTAACATTGAAGAATGAAAATTTCATTTTATGTGCCTTATCCGAAGTGAATCAATGGCGTTTGCGGGGAAGTAGTAAAGCTCCTAAATCCACCTTCACTGCTTTCATAGTATAGGGAATAAAGACGAGTTTTTCTCCTAGAATAAAAAGCATCTTTTCAGTACGCTTCTTCATGCTATTATCCTAGATAATTTTCGTATCGTGTATAGATCCTCACTATTAAGATAATGTCCGAAAGACTTCTTCTTCAAATGATGAATTATATTCAAAGGTTAAAATGAATTTCTTCATTATCGCCTCCCCTCGGAAAAAAAGGCAAATTAATAATGATAGTAATAATAATAATAATAATAATAATGGTATTGGAAGGGAGGACTAGAAAATAATAATAATAAACTATTTTTTTTAATAATTCAATTCTTTTGGAAAACTTTAAGAAAAGTATAAATACTGAAAATCACTAAAAAAAATTTTTGAAAATAATTGAATTTCAAAAAAGAATTTAATTATTTCTAAAAAAAAATTGAAATTTTTATGAGAACTTTTAAAAAATTTTGAACATAATTGAATTTTTGCGAAGAATTTTACTACTTTTGAAAATAATTGAATTTCACGATCCACAAGTTTTGAACGTTCAAATGAACGAAATATTTTTTATTAAAAATATTTTCATAAACTGCTGATTGCAATAAAAATAAAAAACTTTAATTTTATATTGACAAACTTTATAATTAATTTTATTCATAGTGACACAAAATATTGTAATAAAAATTTAATTTGAAGAAAAAAAAATCATTCATTTGAACGTTCAGAACTTTAGGATCATTGAATTTCTGCAATCATTTGTAATTTCTTAAAAATTCTTCCAATTCTATCGTATAATTTACGAACTTTTCGTCTTTGCTCAATCAAATTAAGGACTTTACGGATCTTTTTTAAAGAAAAACTTCCTTTTCGGATTTCAATCAAATATTACGACCCTAGTTCGAGCCCTTAAGTATTAATAATACTATTAGTAGTAGCAAAAACAACTAAGAAACAATAATTGAAAATTGCGAGTTTAAAGAAATAAATTGTGATAAAATCTTGATTGACAAATCGGCTCGGAAACAAGTTGAAAAAACGAGTGCGAAATCGGTATTTAAATGAGGGCGTATTTGCGGCGCCAAAAGTATTTATATATTGCAATTTGGCGCCGCAAAGCTCTCTGAATGAAAACCGTGCTCAGCATCAAAGTTCACTTTCCTTCATTGTGTCAAAGAGAGAGAGGGAAAAAAAGAGAATGAAAGAGCGAGTCCTTTCTTGCGTGACTACATCTATTCAACCATCCATCATTCAATCCATCTCGATCTTTCGTCGTAACCACGAGCCAAACAGCCACAAGAGGGATGGAAAGGAAATGCTTCAATTCCCCTTAGGCCAAGTCACTCTAAATGCCTTTTCTGCGAATCTTAGGGCACGATACACGACACCTGTTTTTTCGTTATTCGTTGCCTTGTAATTGTCTCGTTAATTTCGCCGTAAAGGCGTCAACTACACTTATTTTCTCAAGCAGAACACAAAAGTTGAAAAAACGTTGTTTTACAACCCTTTTTCGTCTGATAATTCTCCACTTTGACTTTGAAAATTATCGACACTGCATTTTGAAGACTAAAATGAAACAAATGTCCTTTTGTCAATTAAAAATACCGTGTCTTTTTAAATGAAATTACTATAAAGAAATTTCGCACACAAAAAAATTGAGAGATGAATGGAACCATTTATTCAATGAAACTTTTTTGTCATCCTACAAATCCTTTCTCCCTGTGTGGGTGACAAAATCCAAGTTGTAAGAAGCTCAAGAAAAACGCACGACAGAGAAATAGTACTGAGCATAAACAATTCGACGAACAAGTTCGCACACCCTTTTTTGAAAAGGGGATGAAACGGAGAAAAAAAGGAAGAAAAGGAAACGAGAAGATTAGGAAACCGTTGGAGAAAGCTGAAAGCAAACAGACTTTAAAATTGCAAAAGTTAGAGTTGCATTTCTACTCTTCAAGTATCGCACATTGCTTTCTCAACATTCGAAAGTCAACGGTAGAGTAATTCCCGTATTTTTTTCTTTTTCCCTTTTGGTTTCTATTTTTTTTCTACTCCCTCACTCTCTTTTTTATTCTTTCAAACTCACGAGCTCATCACTTGCGGTCCATGCAAGCAATTTCGAGGATCTATAATCTCTAAATGAACGTTTAATTGAATTTTTCACCAATTTTATCTCCAATTGAACTTTTATCCTCCTTTCGCCTAAAACGTTTGTTTGATCTATAAATTGCTTGAAAGTAAAAACTTTTTTCCCCTATTTTCAATTATCGATAACGGTCATTTTTCTTTCTATTAAAATATAAATATCTTCTCAATTTCAATTTGATTTATTTTTATTTTTAAAATATCAGAACTTAAGAAAACGTTTAACTTTATAAAAAATTACTTTTTAATTAATATTTGAATACACGAGGTAAATAATGTTCTCCTACGTTTCCTTAATGACACCATCGTGTACTAAAAGTTTTTCTTTTTGACCTTCCTAAGCTCAGCATAGTTTCGAACTTTTTAACAGACCATCAAGTTCTTCAAACTAAAACCCTATTAATAAAAACAAAAACATTCCTTTTTATATCAATATTTAATATCGAATTCTCCAGAATAAACTCTCTTCTCTTTTCTAAAAAACGAAAACAATATACAAAAATTGAAAACTAAGTTTTCTTCTCAAGAAAATAAGAAAAGAAAATTTGTCTCCAACTTTTCTAAAAGTGAAATAAGATTTAAATAGAGGAAAATAAATATTTCATAAAAATTCACAACTGACCGTAAAAGGATAAAAAAAAGAAAAGGGAACGATGGCAAGAAAGATTCGTGCAAGTAAATACCATAGGGGAATCAAATATCGAGTTCTTGTCGTCATATTGAAAGCTATAAGTTGACTTTTGACATTTATTAAGTAAAAAAGAGAAAGAAAAAATTGCTTCTCACAAAAAAAATATCAGTAAGCGTAAAAACGATATTTACAATTTTTTATCATTTATCATCGTCAATTTCCTACGAATTATTATTTCTTCTATCGCAATAAAAATACAAGAGAAATTGCTGTGTGAAATATATATACGAGAGAGATAATAAAAAAGTAAACGAAAACTCGGAGTCAACTGAAAACGGAGACAAATATAAACCTGTCTTTTAAAAAATTAAGACAAAAGGATTCTATTAGTTTGAAAAATGGAATAACAACAAAAACTTCACAGGAGGAAAAAGATCATTTCCAGATAAAAAGGAGACAAAACTTTTCTAAAAACAAAACGTACTAAAAGAAAATAAATTTAAAAAAAAGGTTCCGAACGAAAATTATTTTCCAACTCTTAGCAAAAATTCAAAGAATACAAACTATACTTTTCAATTAAAATAAAATTTGTAAAATAATTGAAAAAAATTCGCCTTCTTTTTAAAATAAAATCAGAAATTTTAAAAGTAATAGAATTTAAAAATGTTTAATTCAAATTTTTGTTGAAAATTCAATTTAAAAAAAAATCATTCATTCATTTAAAAAAAAAAAAAATTCATTTAAAAAAAATTCAATTTTTGAGAAATTACAAATGATTGTAGAAATTCAATTATTTTCAAAAATAATTAAATTCTTCTCATACAATTCAATTATGTTCAAAATTAAAAAAAACGTTCTCGTCAAAATTTCAATTATCTTTATAAATAACAAAATTCTTCCCCAAAATCCAATTATTTTCAAAAATTACAATAAAATTCTTGTCCTAATTTCAATAATTTTCAAAAATTTGTTTCATGTTTCAATTATTTTCAATATCTAT